TCCTTTCTCTTCCGTGGGAGGTAGCCTCGTTTCGAGTACTTGGGGTGGGCGGGGAGATTGTCACTAAGTCAAATGGCCTGTTTCCCCTGTGTGTTTTTAGGGTCCACGTCAAAGGGGGCTTCTCACAGTAGGAAATAGTGGTATGGAAAACCTGCACTCGCAAACAATATAGTAAATGTTTATATGTGATTTTAAAAATACACCATATTACTTTTACTACAGACTTTTCTTCCTAATTACATTTAATATTGTATAATGTTAAAAGTAGTTGGCCTTGCTGAATAAGCAGTGAAAAAGGAGATAGAAATATAACAACTAGCTTATACTTAAAAACATATTGCTATGGGTAATCTGTGTATAAGTGATTAGAATTATACCACCAAAAATATTCAACTCCTTTACAGATAATAAGAATAATCACTATTTACTGAGTATTTACTCTGTGCCAGACATGCTGAATGATCTACATGTGATATCTAAGTTAATCTGCCCCCGTTTTCAAAGGGTAATATCTTTGTTCATTTCTGTATCCTCCATGCCTAATGCAGTGCCTGAATAACAGTATAGTACTAGGTGTCTATTGGATGAACGGGGATTCTTTCGGCCTTGGTTACTCAGGCCCTAGGAAAGCAGGGGTCGTACATGGACCACTCACTACTGAGCCCACCCTCTCCCGGCACCTTTCACAGCGGCTGGTGCAGGCTGGCGCTTCTGAACAGGGCGTTGCCTGGGTCATGGACACCTAGGCATCCTTGCTACACCAGAAACTCCACAAGATCGGGGAGCTTGTCTCTTCCCGCCTCACTGTATCCTCGCCACCGAGAGCAGTGAAGAGCAGAGACTCATCAGAGCAGAGACTCGGTAAGTAAGGGTTGCGTGGACTCCTTCACATTCCTCCCTCCGCTGAGACAGAAGAATGTGAAGGCTAAGACACACCATTTGGAGTTTCTACTGAAAGCACGGAGCAAGTGCCAAACGACTGGACTTAAGAACACAGCTTACTTAGAATGCACACAGTGGGGCAGCCTCTGACCACTTGGAGGCACAAATGTGTGTCGTCGACAGGGGGAGAGATAGTAGAGGCAGACAAAAGAATCCTTGGGAAGAAAGTATACGACCTCGGAGAAGGGGGAGGGACTGGTGGACAGCAGTTTCGAGGCACTGCTCTGGCCCAGAGGTACGCAGGCCCGGCCACATGCTGCGGGAAATGGGAAGTGTGTGTGAAGGTAGGGCTCACTGCACTCAGAATGAACTAGGACAGTCTCTTCTCTGTCTGGGAGAGATGGGACCCTCTGAGGAAGGCCGGTGATGCCAGGGGCAGAATGTAACCGTCAGGTGGGGGGCCAGAGCCGTGCAGAGGTGATCAGTGTGGTCAGGACAACCGCCCCGCCCCCAGGGGCACGGATAAGGGTTGGATGGGCTGCAGCAATGGTCCTGTTGAGTTTGGTATTCAGTGCGTGCTGTTAGCCCACAGACAGAAGACATGCTCTAGAACATTGGCCACCTAAACTGCCACGAGGGGTTTTAAAACAATTAAACATTTATTGAGAACCCATGATGTTTAAGGCAGAGAGCCACAATAGTCCACCGAGTATATACGATGAGGTCTCATCTCTTGAGGATTCAGAGTCTAGGAGGGGAGGTGTGGCAGAGATTGCTAAATGCCCAACCAATGCCTATTGACTCCATCTTTCATGCTTCCAAAACATCATTTTATTCCAGGTGGCAATATGCTCTGATTTAAAAAAAAAAACATTTGAATATATTTTCCAGCTTCTCTTCAATCTATAGGTGGTCAGTGAGATTTAAGTAGAAGTAATTGGATGGGGCTTCCATAAATATTTTCTAAAAGGGTTTGATCAGGTGGACGGGACACCCCTTTGCCATCCCTTTTGTTCTTAATTGGGATGAGGATACAATGGCTAGAACTCCAACAGCCACCTTGGGCCATGAGGTGAATTTGAGAATGGAAGCCCCCCACTAAGGTTAGTGGAGAATAGTCGAAGGGGCCTCTGGTGTCCCTGAACAGCCATACAAATTAAAAAAAAAATTTTTCTTTTCTTTTTGCTTCTTGTTACCATTTTTTTTATATGAGAGAAATATATCTTCATTTTGTTGAGGTCACTTAGTAGAACATATATACATTCTAATCCTGATAAAGGAGAAAGGACAAACATTTAAGAAGTTCAACATGAGAGTCGCATAATTCAGCTCAAAAGAAGAAATGCCTAATCAATTTGAAAGACAATAATTATTAAAAGGGTTCAGAAGAGAGAAAAACCTTTCATCTTCCTTGCTGGCGGTAAGGGAAGCATGATGTCAGGCAGAGAGCAAGGAGCTAAGGTATCGTGACCTTGAGCCTTTTGGGTGCTGTATACTATCTCAACTAGTCGGCAGTAAGAGGTTAGTGGTGGGGCCAGGTTCTGCCCCAAATGTGACTCCAAGCCTTTCTGATCCTAAACTGCTCTGTGCTATGCTGTCCCCCCAACTCCCCCGCCCTTTGGAGCACTACCTTAAAAGGTCAGACTCGGCAATGCGTCCGTGATGTTGGCATATGAAGGAACCAGTCATATGATTTCTCAGGATTGCAGTCCCCAGGCAACAGGGTGCGTGGGGGGCTGCTGAGGAAGACAAGTGACACCCCACACTTGGTAGGGGCAAGGGGGCCAGCTCCCTGATTCCCACACCAGGGGTCATCAGTGGGGTCCCCAGGATGGTGAAGCCACAGGGCTCAGACCCACGCACCCCACAGTACCCCAGATTCCATCATCAATCTGCTGAAGGTTGGAGCACCCTCGGGATCTGTGCATCCACCTTTGGAAGAAACGTCCTAATCCGTGAGGTCTGTGCCTGCAAACCCCGCTCTTTCGCTTGCGTTCCTTGGGAACGAAGCTCGGAGCTGAGACGCTCCTTCTGAACAGTTGCTTTTCCCCATTCAGCCAGCTGCTTTTCCTCTTAGCTCTCCCACACTGCCAGAAGGGCGCCTGGAGAAGGCGGCTCCTGTTGCAGTCTCTGGTTCCAGCAGGACTCTGTGACCCCGGGAAGTCTGTGCGGATTTCAAAGGCTGTCTGGACCAAGAAGACGAGGAGCAGGCGCGATGCTGTTCTCCACCCCCCCCCGGGGGGTGGGTCACCTTGAAGCAGGCGTGGGGGAGACCGCATCTATTCTGCTAGTGACTTAACAGAACGGCCCTAACATTTTTCAGAGAGCCACACTCTCCCGTTTCCAGATGCATCCTTACTTTCTCGCCCTTTGCTCAGACGGGATGAGCAGTGATCAAACTCTCAGTATCTGAGTGGCCTTAAAGAGGCCCAGCAATCCTGGCCACAGTACCAGAGAGGGCAGGTTTTGTGCGCGTCTGCGAGAAAGCAGTTGCTCCATTGTCACGACAGCTAGGGGACAGAGGGCTCTCAAGCTGAGGCAAACTCCTCTTTATCCCTGGAGGGCACACTTGCCCCTCTTTCCCCGACCCCTGGCTCCTGCCCTCGTGGGATTTGACTGAACAGGTGCTCACGCAGCCGCTCAGAAGGGCTCGTTCAGGACGCGCAGTGCCCTTTCCCAGCAGCTGCTCGGTACCTTCGCCCCTGGGAGCGCGGTGGCGGTGCACGCCCAAGGCCCCGGCGCTACGATGGGGACGGGAGAGCTGAAGGGCCGCTGCCCCTCAGGAGAATGGGGCGCAGGACTCCAGGCCTCGGCTCCTTAAGCCGTGGGAAAGGCAGGACAGGGCCAGCTCTTAGCGGAATTTGCAGCCGCCTCCCTGATCCCCATTGCGGCAGACGCGGCGGGTGAAGGGGTGACCCCCTGTCCCTCCTCCCCGGGCCTGGCGCTAAGAGGTCTGCCTCTCCCGGGTTCAGAGCCGGGTCTCTAGGGCCAGCTAGGTCTGGGGCACAGGCCGTGAAACCCCTTCCTGGTCCGGGGAGGTCAGTGCGCTTACCAGGTGCAGACCCGGAGCCCCAGGGCGCCCACTGCGGGCGGGACACGGGCAGTGCAGCGTGTGCCTCTGTGCCCCTGTGACAACTGCGGGGCGGGGTTGGGGGGAGGCGGTCAGCCACCTCCTTCCCCCCAGGAGTCACCTCCGAGGCACCTTTGGGCCTGAGCCTCTGCGCCGCAGCAGCAGTGGCCGGTGGCCCCGGACGCACGAGTGGGCAGCAGTAGCCCGGCCATGGTGCGCAGACCCCCTGCCCAGGCCTGCCCAGGCCGGCCCAGGTCCGCCAGGGCGGGCTCCCTCCCGTCACCGCTGGACCCATTTCCGCGGTCCTCACAGGCCTTCGCCGCTGTTCCCCCTCTGCCCCCTGAAAGGCAAAGCAGGCAGATACCAGAGGGCACCTGGAGGGAGGTCACTGACACCGTGGTGTTTATTGTAGAAGACGCGCACTTCTGCTTCGGAGGGTGAGCTCCCCCGGCTCGATTCAAGGAGGTTTTTGGTGGCCTTTTGTCAGGAAACTTATAATCACGCAGAATTTAGCCTCTAATCGGCCAGACTTATTTAAAGGGCACAGAGTCAAACCTTCCATTTTTAACAGCCACTCTGGTGTTTGCTGGAAATTTGCCACCGAATTTCGGCTGGAGCTGAAGGTTACCAGGATTTATCATTGTTTCCCCAGGATGTTTAACCCTCGTGGGCTCCTCTTCTTTCATTTAAGATACTTAAAAAAAAAAAAAAGCCTTGTAAGCGCTTTGGCCATTTTGTTTAAGAAATTTGTTTTACCTTGCACGGCTTTGAGGTCCAGGAATATTTCTGAAATAGGGAGGAGGAAGTTTTGGACACAGAAAGCAGCTGTGTACCAGGAAATAGGAAGTATGAAGGAATATTACAGCTAATAGATATCCTTTACAAGTGTAAATATCTATATTTAATTGCTTTAAAAATGTGGGGTGGAAAAAACACAATTATACATTATGATAACAAACCTGTACAGAAAATTTCCAAACAATACAAAACAAGTGCTGAAAAAAATTTTTTTATGATTGAAATACTTTTTCCAAAATTATGACCCCACCAACCCAAATATCTTGCCCCACCTGCAAATACTTGAAGAGGAATTATTACCAATTGAATGCATTTAGATTTGTCCTTGATAAAAAGAAAATTGCATAGCTTTTTTTATATTGTTGCACATTTTCAAATACACCTTCCAATATCATTGTCAGCTTGGTGTTATTTTCCATATATTAAATTTCCAATTTTTCAGAGATACATAATATATAATTCCTAATCATTAGAAACACATCATTTTATTCATCTTATTTTAATAACATGCACGTTTATAATTACTGTACAACTGAAACAGACAGTGAGTTTTGCTGGATGCATGTCTTTATTCAACAGTATATTCTGAGACACCTCGTTCAAACAAATTGTGAATTTAAAAGAAAAGCCAAAACCACAGAAAAGAATTCTTCCTGTAGAAACAGAATCACAGTGCTTTACAGACAAAAGGAAAGGAAAAGGAGTTCTCTTAAGAAAAGAGGTTTATTGTTACCTAGAAAATCCTCACAATAGTTGAAACACACTTCAGGAACTAGGGAACACCTTAGATAGAGTTGTGCCAATTACTCAGCCCACAAGCATCTGCTTTGTCTTAATTAGATGGGGGGAGGTGAATGACCACTGTTTATTTTCATTTTCCTCATTAATTATGAAAAACTGCATTTAATTCATCTTGCATGGTGAGGGATTGGCTGCGCAGGTGTAAGTCGTAAGGGAAGTGGCTGTCGGTGGGCAACCTGAACATGGCACCCTGCCCAAGGGGACCCCTGGGTGGCACTGCACAGTAATGCATGCCGTAATTGTAATTTTTGCCATAGTCCAAGGTTTCTTCTTGCTTCAGAGAAAATATCCCATTATAGTTAATTGGGGGAGGACTTAAGGGACCTTCAAACTGAGGGCTGGCACACTCAGGGGAGGCGCTTTCATAGAAGGATTCATACGCACTGCAATAATTATAGGGTTTCATGGACTTGGAATTATCAAGAGTCCCATGCCCCGGGGGGGTGGTGAGCTCAGGGCTGTGGTAGGGCGGGTAGAAAGTGGAGTAGGGTGACCGGGTGTGATGCGCGGCCTCCCCGCCCTGCCCCATCAGGAAACTCCTGGCGTTGAGCTGCAGGCAGCCAGCCACCAAGTTTGTAGTGGGCTGGGAGAGACCTTTGCATAAGTTTTGGACGAACGTGAGCAGGTCGGGTCTCTTGCCGATTCTTAGAATTTCTGAAAGTGCCCAAATGTAGTTTTTGGCCAGTCGTAAAGTTTCAATTTTGGACAGTTTCTGGGTTTTAGAATAACAGGGGACCACTTTTCTTAAATTGTCCAGAGCGTCGTTGAGGCCGTGCATCCGGTTCCTCTCCCGCGCATTAGCTTCCTGTCTCCTGAACTTGACCCTTTCGAGTCGCAGCTTGGTTGTCTTTTTTTTTCTAAGACCCCTCCTTCTGGGCAAGCCATTTTCATCTTCCTCTTCCCTGTCTTCCTCCTCTTCCTCTTTCTCCGTTTCTTCTCCCGGGGCTCTTTTGATGCTCTTTCCTCGAAGGACAATCTGTTTGGAAAAGCTTTCTGGTTTCTTAATTTGCTTCTGGTCCTCGCATTCTCTAGAAAACTTTCTGCACATCTGGGATTCTGGCATTACAACAGACTCATCAAACGGTAGTGTTAACATGGTTCTCTAATCTTAAATTACCTGAAAAATGCCAATATTTAAAGTGTTTTCATTTTTAAAGTTTATGCACTTCAAACATATTGAATGACTTAATCATAAAAATGCAAAACCACGTGAAAAAAAACTGGTTCCAGGACTCATTTTTTTTTTACATTAAATATAATTTTTGAGTTTGGGCAGATTAGTAATTATAGCAAACATTGACACATGCAATAGGATTAATTTATACAAGCAGATTATCAAAAGAAAATAAAACATGAGGCATTTATAGTAATACCACCACCATCTCCATTTCTCTTTGATTTTTTTACTGGTTTTTAAATATACAAAAAAGAGCATGGAATTGTAGCAAATGCAAAACATGATACAGCAATACAGAATTTCATTAGTTCTAATTCCCCTGAGTAGAAATGAGAGGAGGCACCAGTTTTTAAAATAAAAAGTGCTCTCTCTCCATTAGCTGACAAATTTGTGGGTTTTTTTTTAAAAAAAAGCCTTAACTTTATTTGCTGCATTATGTAACCGTGGATTCAGATAAGTGGCTGTTGCAAACATACAATTTTGTAAAAAAATTAATCAGAGCCAATTTTAAAACTGATTTCTCTCGGATCAGTAAAGAAAAATGTAAAAGAGCACTATTTCCCAGCCTTCACACACAAAAAAAACGGGGGTGGGGAAGGATTAAGCTAATTTGGAATAAACTCCATAAATAAATTTAAAAAATAAAAACCACTGGCATTGTTTCAATTCAAAGAAAATGTTGCGACTGCTTTCCATTTACATTTTCTCTACATGTAATTGTCTGTTTACTGCTGTTCAAATTATCCTGGACAAAAAACACTCTCGGAGTGTTTTTGTTCTACGAGCCACAGAAGTCTCCCTCTAGCTAATATCTGACGGGAACGGTCCAAGGATTCTGACTGCAATTGTGCACGTGTGTTCAGAATCCCGAATGAAAGGGGAAAATAATTTGTGTTTCAAATGCAATTTTGGCTTTCGTTTGGTGAAGCAGCAAGTATTTTCATCTAAAGTCCTCAAACAAATAAGCAGGTTAAAACAGAGACTTTTCAGTTTAACAATCTCCAAACACACACACACATTCACACACACACACACAGAAACTCTTAGTAATGTCCACATACTTGCAGTGTTACATAGTAGCAGTGAAAGTATGTGATAATTGCATCATAAGAATGAAATATAATAAGAAGTTATAGATGGCAAAGAGCATATAAATACTATAAGACAGTGACACTGTATCTTTAAATACTTGCATGCAAAGCCAGCATCAATTGAAGTATATCTTTATTTATATTACCTTAGGTTTTAATTTCATTCAATAATCAGTTTTCATTTTGGATCTTCCAAATCTTTTCAGGCTGAGTGTCGCATCGTCTCCTGGAGTCTCTAGATCTGTGTGTATCTGCACTATCTCATTGATCTCTAAAAAGTGACATTGATGCCAACTGCCAGAGCTGGTACCCATGCCATCTGCTAGTGACGTCACAGGGCAGGGAGAACCATGTGATCCTCTCTCTTGGGACCTTCATTCTGCACTGATCATCTGGCATCCCTGTAAGTGGGTACCAGCATTCATGCATCAACACAGAAGGTTAGACTGATAGGAAAAAAATCTGCACCAGCATTTCACATACAGTAGGTGCGTTTCTCCTCGAGCTGCTCCGGCTCCACGGGCAATCTGCAGGAAGGGCTGTGTGAGTGCTCAGTTTTGCCCTGCCAACGGTGCAACTGTTAGGTAGTCATTAATATTCCATTCATTTACAAGGTGGGCTTTTGTGTGAGCGAGAGGCTTTTTTTTTTGTCATTGTTGTTGATGTTTTGTGAAGATCACCATCCCATTTGTGCACCTGGGTACCCAGGGAAAGAAAGCCATGAAAAAAGAGCTGAAATCGGGAAAATGATCTTGAGATGCTTAACCAAACTCAGATTTGTGTCAGCAAACAGGGATCAGCAGAGGTCTCCTTATTTCCTTGTTTTGTTTCGTGACATGCAACTTACCGGTGTGTGTCTGTGTGTTCCCTTACTAACGTGGAAGACTTCCGTGCTCCTTAGGAATTTGGGATAAAAGAACAGTTTCTCCGTCTGGGGGCTGTGAAAGGCATCCTCAGGTGCTCCCCTTTCTACACTTGCTGGTACCTTTCAACAACTTTCCGGAGAGATTCTCTGTGTCTGTGTGCAAATCGCAGAAAGGACTGCCGGTCCACTGTGAGCGGTCTCAGACCACCTCCTTAGGTCCCCTACCTAAAGCCACAACTTCGCTCTTTATTGTCCCCGATCTCTTTCCAGCGGGACTTGCTTGTTCCTTCTCATTTCATTTCAGACGCAATAAAGATAAAAATGATCACTTAGGTCTTTTTCTCTCTTCCCCTGGCATTCTGCTGTGTATTTTCATCAAAATGAGCTTTCCTGATTTTTTTTTTTTGAGCTTCCAGGTTTTTCCTTTCTTCTAAAGTTTTTCTCACATGTTTCTCCCTCCAGACCAAAACCAATTTAAATAGCTGGCCATTCTCATATTAGGGTCCAATTGTTTTTCCCTGTCAGATGTATTCCATATTTATCTGTCTTCCCCATGCCCCCCTTTGGGTTTCTTAACAAAAGCAGGGTAGAAACAGTTAAGCAAAGCTGGCAAAGCTTTCCAAATAAAACAAACTGTGAAGCCAGAAGCAAACTCCACCTTCTTCTCTCTTTCTCTGGTCCCTATCCCCCCGACCCCACCCAAAAAGGACATTTTATTTCAGGATTGCCTGTCAGTAAAGTAAAAAGCGTTCTTTAAAAAAAAAATAAAAGTTTGAAAACAGACCAGCACCACCTTTGTTGTGTGACAGCGGCGTAATCTCCTTCTGTAATGTGAGACAGTATGCTTTTGGTATTAAAGTAATCCCTGGCAGAGCTGTGGCTGTCGAGTCTGGGTTAGCACTCCCCTCATCCAGCCCAGTTTTGAAAGGCTGAGAATTCTGCCACTTGAACGCACTTTGGTTCCAAACTGGCGTCGGGGTCCTTGCACTAAATTCAGTTTTGCTCCTCGTACCCCACTCATTTCTATCCCCCTCAACAGTTACTCGACTTTGTCTGGACAGTTCTAGAAAAGATGGAGAAATTGGCAAAGGGGAGAACCATGCTAGGTAAAGGAGGATAATTTTATTCTCTCAATGGTCCAGTAAAAAAAAACATGCATATGTAAAATAAAAGACCATAAATTCATAACTTAAAATACGTAGGTTGGCCTAGTTCATGCTTTTTAAAAATTGGACATAGCAAGGCACTTCAAAATGTCGCTTAAGGGAATATTACCGGTAATGGGTGTGTTGAGTCTATTTCATACAGCTTTTGATTTAAAAACTACACACACTTTTAAACTCCCTGTCAGCACAGAAAATGTCTATAGGAAGACCAAATGCAGATTTCTGTTTGTTCTCATGTACGGTTTAATTTTTAAATGCAAAGGAGCAGAAGTATCAGAGTCACAAGCCACAGAGCAGCCAGCCCTGCCATGAATGTTGCATATTGCATCATATTCAAAACTCGCAAAGTCTCCAGAAGCTGCCTTGGATGACAGGCATCAAGGACAGGAAAATAGAAATCCAGGAAACAGACAACATGACATGTCAGTAGAAAACTATCACCAGTACGGCTCATCACAAGCATGGATTTTGTATTTTATCTTTGCAACGCGCAAATGGGAAACAGTTTTTGATGAAAACATTTGGGGCTGTTCTATTTCTGCCTTTGAACATGAAATAAAATTTTTTGGTGCTGGTGGTAATGTGGTGGGGATGGGGGTGGGTGCAGAGAGACGCTATGCTGTGGTTTTCTGAGTATTAATCTATTTTCTGAATGTCTTAGACGGGTTCCCCCCCCCACACACACACACAAAGGAGGAAAACAAAAAGTTGTTATGTCAAGATTTAGCAAGGATTCAGTATGTTTGTACAATAATCTTTCAAAAGAAATTTCTTTATGCATTTTCTACGATAGTTCCAGATATGCAAATGCCTGTACTGTTAATATGCATTCATAACATACACCAAACTGCTGTTCTACTCTCTGCTAAGAAAGCATGTTAACACCGATACTCCAAATAGAAACACGTTCTGAATTATAGACGAATACTCAGGGTATGGGGAGTGTATTATCATCATTTCTGTGTCTTCTCATTTTACAGCAATCACTGCTTATCAGAGTTTACATCTATAACTCAATTTGATATTAATCTAATAGATATGATCTTTGCTTCCAGGGACAGGGCAATTTATAGTAGTTTGTTTTTTTGAAGTGCCCAATGTCTGTCTGCCTCTCTCTTGCTTTCACTGGGTAAATATATTTGTATATATTTCATTTATAGAAATGACCCACTGAACATTTGAATACAATTTGCAAGGCAGGTGAAGCCAAACGTCTGAGTTAGGATTTTAAATGTTGTTATTTTGGGACTATCCTGTTGGTACCTGCGTCTTAGCAAATGGGGGTTCTGTGGACTTCCTTTTCCATAATTTAGGAGATCAGATCGGAACCTGACAGGCATTGTTTCTGGCTTTGCAAGGGTGTAAATGAGGTAAGTCAACGGGATGTAGAGAGAGTCCAGGCAGGGTCAGGCAGCAAAACCTCAAGACCAGAATTTGTTCCCTAGAATTAGGATACCTCCTGAGAGAGATTTTGCACAACTTTTCTATCGCTTCACCGCACACCCCCCCCCCCCAACCCCTTCCCTTGTTTTTAAGCGCTTAGACAAATGCTTCAGGGCAGCAGGGGCCCGTGTGCCAGCCCAGTGTTAATCCCTGGAGTTTTAACTCTGTCATCTCCATTGGTTTGAAAGAGTTTTGTGGCGGTGGCAAGCCTCCCACTTTGGAAAACAGCCTGTGGGATTGGACTAAAAGTATTTAAATGATAAGAAAAAAAACAGAACAATCTTACTCCTCTCGAAGCCTCAGAGGGCTTAAAATATCATTTAAACATAGGCGTCTAACTGTTTTGTATATACATATATCTGTATCTATATCTACATTTACACACAAGGATTACTTAGACTAAAGAGACAATCTGGAAATAATTGGAGGGCAACGTCTGGATTGCCTTTTTACATTTACTTGAGAGTGAAGACTAGACTGAATTGTACTATTATGATGCCATAAATTATATTGTGGTTTATGCAGCTCACAAAACACTGCAACATCTAGTCTTCTATTTTAGCCCTTACACGAAACAGCACATCAGCCCTTTCCAGAAATACCTTTGTATTTTGTTCACTAACCTGCATTTATTAAATGCATTTTTCAATCTGTTGTTAAATAAAGTCATCTAAACCTGCCAGTTAAAACTTCTACCAGTGCGAGAAAACCAGTATTATTGGACCAATTTACTATAATTCCAGCTATTGGTTAAAAAAATAACAACTGTGCTTTACTAACTTCTGTGATCTTGCTATAAACAAATGCATAAACAAATGTATAGTTTTCTTTAGGCCTACAAATGTTAAGAATTACTTATTATCTCTGATTAATGCTTTTTACAATACTCAATTAGAAATTATTGTTGTATTCTAATCAATGTATTGCAATGGTTATTTTTTAAATTTTATTGAATTTATTGGGGTGACACTGGTTAGTAAAATTATATGGGTTTCAAGTGTACCACTCTATAACACATCACCTGTGCATTGTATTGTGTCCACTATCCAAAGCCAAGTCGACTTTCATCACCTTTGTCCCCCTTTATCCTCTTCTACCCCCCCCAGACACCCCCTCCCTCTGTTGTCTGGGTCTCTGAGTATTTTTTAAAATTAATCCCATACATTGTTTCGCCAAGCCTCCCAAACCCCACACCACTGGAGAGCTGTCAGTCTGTTCTCTGTACCTGTGAGTCTGTTTGTATTTTGATTATTAGTTGGTTTTGTTCATTAGATTCCACATATCAGTGAGATCATACGGTACTCATCTTTCTCTGCCTGGCTTATTTCACTTAGCATAATACTTTCCAGGTCTACCCATGCCTGCACAAAAGGTAAGAGTTCCTTTTTATGACTGAGTAGTATTCCATTGTATAAATGTACCATGGTGGTTTTACCCACTCATCTTCTGATGGGTACCTAGGTTGCTTCCAAATCTTGGCTATTGTAAATAACACGCAATGAACATAGGGGTGCATATATTGTTTTGAATTAGTGTTTCAGGTTTCTTCAGATATATATAGAAGTGGAATTGCTGGGTCATAGGCAGTTCCACTTTTAACTTTTTGAGGTGCTTCCATACTGCTTTCCACAGTGGCTGCACCAATTTGCATTCCCACTAACAGTACGTGAGGGTTCCCTTTTCTCCACATCCTTGCCAACACTTGTTGTTTGTGGATTTATTGGTGATAGGAATTCTGACAGGTGTGAGGTGATATTTCATTGTGGTTTTAATTTGCATCTCTCTGATGATTAGTG